CATATCACAGAGGATGATTACATCATTTCATAACTGCCAAATTACACATTACATAACTGCCAAACAACTGAGGATCATGGCATTGACACTCAATCTTAACCATCAAAAATAGCTAACATTTTTTTACTTAGAACTAATAGTGTCCTAAGAACTTTATATGTATTAGCTCATTTAATCCTCACAACAAATCTAAAAAGTACATATATTGTTTTATAGATGAGCAAACTGAGGAACAAAAGAGGTTCAGTAACTGGTCTAAAGTCATTTGACCATACTTGATAAAGTTGGGCTGGGAATGTGGATCTTGACCTGTACTCTAACCACTGCTATATACTTTCTTTCAGTACCTGTGGTTATAATTCAAATATTTCACTTGTTGTCTTGATCTATATTACATCCAGAGAGGCTGTGGGTTTTTATTTATATTGTCAATAGTTCCTAATACTATTTCCAGGTGAAATAATGTCCAGTTGGATAAGATTAGGGCTAATTTATCCCAATTGGATATCATACAAATCATTCAAATTTTCTTCTCAGTCTATCACAAATATTTAATTTAGTTTCTGTCATTCAGTGTATCTGCTCTTTTACTTACTTCATCCCATCTTGTTCCTTACAAGTTTAATAAACATGCCCTAGAACATGGGTCACCAAACTCTAGCCCATGGGATAAATATTGCCTACTACCAAGTTTTGCATAAGCTGTGAGCTAGGAGTGGTTTATACATATACATATACACATACACATACATATACATATTATATATAGGTATTTTTTAATGGTTGAAAAGAAGAATGTTTCATGACTCACAAATTATATGGATTTAAAATTCAGTGTCTATAAATAAAGTTTTATTGGACGAGAGCAATGCACATTCATTTATGTATTGTCTGGCTGCTTTCTTTCTACAGAGGTATAACTGATTAGTTGCAGCAGAGATTAGATGGCCCATAATGCCTCAAATATTTCCTACTTGACACAAATAAAATTTACAGAGAAATTTGCCAGCCCCTTCTGTAGAGTACCCAGGGGAAGGAAGAGCAAAGGGCAGGTACTTTCATAAGCATGTTCTCCAAGAGTGATGCCTTTATCACAAATTATAAAAGATATGAGCTCGTGTGATGTTTTTTAAGAATATGGTGACAAGACATTCATGAAGGCATGAAGCAAACTATGCAAAGATACAGAAAAGTAGACAAAAAGTAGCAGCTTTTTAATGTGCTCACTTTCTCAACCAACCAAAACCTGGACCTGGGCCCCCTCCTCCAGCCCTTTCCCCAGGCCTGTGTCCCCATTGCTAGGATCTGTCTAATCCTCAGATGCAACTGTGATAATAACCATTTACATAGGATTCCTAGTTGGTGGTGCTGTGGTTAAAGCATTGGGCTGCTAGCCAAAGAATCAGCAATTCAAACCCACCAGCCACTTCCTGGAAGAAAAACAAGGAGTCTACATGTGTAAAGACTGACAACCTTGAGTCTGTGACCAGCATGATGACACTAGGGGAAAGGAAGGACACTGAAATGTGCACATAACATATAGACCACAGAGGCAAATACTAGTACATGCACAATACTCAATTATACTAACACCAAACACCAGGCTATGGATAAATGCATAGACAGGGACAAGATCAGGTTGGGGTAGATGAACAGGAATATACCCTGGAACAAGGATAGATCTGCTGAAAATAATCTTACATATGCACCTATGCCACAAAATTAGCCACTTACATTACAGAAGCAACAGAAGACAGAGTTGGCATAACTTCTCAGGGACAACCAAACACCTTGAAAGAGAGAATCACCAGGCCTGCTGTGGTAGTTAAAATTGTATGTCAACTTGGCTGGGCGTGGCTGAGTGACTGGGAAGCTGGTGATAGTTATTGCCCATGATGAGACTGGCAATCAACTCCATGGTGGGATCTATCACAAGCAGCCTTTGGGATGTGGTCTGCTTCCTGTATCTAAGGAGAAGCCTTGGGAATTGTCTCTCACCTATGGCACACTTGGACCCTGTATGTAGCCGTGTCATTGCTCAGCAGCCTGCTATGCTCTGCTGACCTTGGAACTTATAATGGACTTAAGTTAATGGTCTGCCGTGTGGTTGGTAACATTAGGACTGAGCCTTTTTACTTGTCAACCTTGGGGTTTCTCAGCCTCAGCAGCCAGCAACTGTCTAAATCAAGAAATCCCTCTAGCTCCAGTGGGCCAGGAGCAGGAGGCAGAGCTGGACCCCAAAGTTGAGGGGCTTTCACCTAGCCCCTAGAGCCTGGCACTTTGAACTTGGACTTAAAGCCTC